GCAGTGTATTAGGATAACATCTTAAAAACAAAATAAAGCTGAAAGAACAACATATGATCTACATTTTTTTGAAAATAACATTATAGAATGACCACCCTTCTCTGTCTTCTCTTCTACTCTCTCTCATACCTTAAAATCTATCTTGGTTTGCTGGCAGGAAGTGTAATTCAGCTGAATTTAGACCTGCATGGGCTTGATCATATATCTAGCAACCAAAATTGTAATCTGAGATGTTTGTCACATGCATGAAACCAAGAATCAGCAATCTTCTGCTAGATCTACATGCCAAACAAATTAAAACTACACAAACAACTTCAAAAGGACAACGCTGTCATGTTTAGCCTTGCACTGATTTTTTAGCCGCCTGAAGCCTTAAATCGTTACTAATTGCTGAGTCAGAATTGCAACAGCAGTTGTATCCAATCCATCTACTGCAGGGGAAAGAGGGAAGTCAGTCAGATTACTGTGGGCAGGGCTGTCTTGATGTGACATCCAGATCACTTTTGTAGCAATACTACAATGTTACACCTGCAAAGTCAGCAGATGCCAGTAAGATTTTTCAACTGGAAAGTACTTGGAGAAAGTTGTATCTTTTAATAATTAATATTATTTTTAAAAAGACCCATTATTTTCTAAAGCACCAAGTGTCTTCCATCTCAAAGTGTACTGTTCTTTCCCATTCTGTGCAGAGAAGATGGTGCTGAAATTGGCTGCTTCTGGAAGGAAACAATATAGTAAGTAACCCATTAGGATTCAGGTGAAGGGTTTCTGGATAATGCATGCCTGCCTCATTGGAAGTAGGTCCCAGCAAAACACTCTGTGCAACCTTCTGATCCCAGCTCATGTGCAAAAACTAAAAGATCTATCTTCCCTATGATGTGACACTTTTATTAAATAGACATAAATATGATGTTTCTGATACACAGTTGTTGACAGGAAAGAACTGATGTCTGTAGGTATCAACTTCCCAGTGTCACGCCTCCCTCATCTGAAGCAGCTTTCCCACCATGACTGACAAACAGGATTCCTCCTCAAAAAAGGTTTTCTTCACATATTTGTTTGGTTCAAACCTAAAAAGACATAAAGCACCTGGAAAACCTTCTGGGATTTCACAAACAATGTTGGACCTCAGGCTTGTGGAACCTTCCTCCTTTTTAAAACACATCAAAAGAAAAGAAAAAAATAAACAACTACCAGTACCCTGTGGACCTTATAATTAGCTTAAGCAGTAAAGTTCTGCCTCCCCTGAGGTGCATCATAATGTGTATTTAATGAAATCCTCCTTTTGCCTATATCCCTAGCTGTTTTATATATTATAAATTATGTATGAGCTTCTGTTTATATATGCCATCTTTTAGCTCCAAAATAAAGACCACTAATACAGCGCTTGGAACACACCAGGATGCCTGCACTCCATCAATGTTTAAATGGGCTACAACATGCCAACTGGTCATTTGCTCTCGTTGGCAGTGACGTATGGGAGGGAAATGCCCTGAGAGATGCAGAGAAGCATCCGCCCATTGCTGTGAGCTTCTCCCACCCCCACATTGTACAGCCTTCACTTATTGGCATTGAGAAACAGATGGTGCCATCCATCTCGTTTTATGAGATGGGGAAATAAAATATTCAGCCTTGTATCACTATTTTTAGCATGAGCAAGGGATCTCAAAGAAATCAAGAGGGAAACGACAGTATCTATAGCTACTACCACCCCAAAGTACTGCAGTTAAACAATCAACAATATATTTCAGGGAGCTACTGTGTGTGTATGTTCCTTAATGTGAAGATCAATAGATTTTGCTCCAATCCAGCAGATCTCAAGCAGTTTGTCTCCTGGCACTGTGATTGAGCTCACACAGCTTGAGTTCCCTGCATAAAGCATTTACTTCATACTACGAAGAGGCATGAGCAGGGAGGTAGTGCATGGCTTCCAGAACCCACTGGAATTTTCTGGCTGATTTGGATGAGCTACACACAAGTAGCTGCAATTAAAAGAAAAATTGCTTGGCAGGTACAACCACAGAGTTATATCTGGGATTGCTGACTGAATGTTACTAGCTTTATTGTGCTAACAAAAACATATTATTATCCTCTACAGAGAAGACAAATAAAGATATTTGCTCTAAGATGAATTTCCAGTTTTAAATTATGAGATCCTAACTGCCTTAAGATTTGCTATCCTTACTTCCCTTTCCTCTGCATGTCTGTCTTTCTGTAAACTACATTTTTCCCTTATTTTGATTTCATCTATCCTGCTTCTGCTTGCTTCAAGTACTAATTTGTTTGCTGGGCAAGAAAGGAAGTCTTAAACAGACACAGCTTTACTACAATACTCCTTTTTGGAAACAGGTTCATGCATATAATTCTAACCCAGTAATAGTAAACTTGGGTAGCTTTGATAGAAAAAAAAAGGCACACTTTTCTCTTTTTTTCCCTTCCTTTGGGGTTGTTGTGGTCACAAAGACTGTCTACAAGTACCTTGATTACACTAGGAACATCAGCCCTAATAAACCTGTTGCAAGAGCCCCCTTGATACCTGTGGCTTGTCCTAGTAAGAAAGGGTTTTTTTTGTTTCAGTCTGGGTCTACTCATATTACACCAACACACACAGGTCAGTGGTAGGATGTGTCTAGAAATCCAGACTTTGGCTTTTTTCAGTCAACATTATGTCATCAGTTAGGAAATACAGAAAACTTCATTTATGACTTTGAAGCCCATGAAGATTTGATGCTACAAGCTTAGACCTAAGAATTAAAAAATCAACCTGGGAGGGAGTGAGGAGCTTTGCCTGCAGAGGGGATGTAGTCATAGGTTCTCTCTGCTAGCTTCCATAGAAGCTAGGCTTTGTTTTGGAAAGAAAAACAGTATTGTAATTCTATGTCAGAAAAGGCAACTTTCTCAAATTATATGCAGAGGAGAAACTAATGAAGTTTACTCCTCCAAATCTGCTGACAGATGCATGCTCACCATTGGTAGCTGAATGAAAGCAAAGTTGAATGAAATGCAAGCTCAGGAAAAGGAATTTGGGTTGTTCCACTGCTGCTGCTGAGATGAATGTGCACTTCAAAGGACAAAAGAAAACCACAAAACAACCATAGCAAAGCTAAAGGCAGAAAGTAAATTTATGGGAGGGAAGAGAGAATCCAGACAAGATAGCAAAATTAATTCATGTTCCTTAACACAGTGGGAAGACAACTGGACCAAAAGGTGGACCAAAATCATAGAATTGTAGAATGGTTTGGGCTGGAATGGACCTTGAAGATCATCTAGTTCCAACAGTCCTGCATGGGCAGGGACACCTCCTGATAGACCAGGTTGCTCAAAGGTCCATCCAACCTGGTCTTGAACACCTCCAGGGACGGGGCATCCACAACCTCCTGGGCAACTGTTCCAGTGTTTCACCACCCTTGCAGTAAAGAATTTCTTCTTAATGTCTAACCTAATTTATCCTCTTCCAGTTTAAAACCATTACCCCTTGTCCTATCACTAAACATCCTTATAAACAGTCCCTCCCCAGCTTTCCTGTAGCCCCTTCAGGTACTGGAAGGCCACGACAAGGGCTCCCCAGAGCCTTCTCTTCTCCAGGCTGAACAGCCTCAACTCTCTCAGCCTCTCTTCATAGGAGAGGTGCTCCATCCCTCACATCATCTTTGTGGCACTCCTCTGGACTTGTTCAGGTCAGTGGAAAGACCCTATAAAGAGCCAGAAAGTCCCTTTTAAGCACTGTACACACTTGGATGTCTCATATTGCCTGATGGCTGCTGAAGTTTTGAAGCTGCATATTGTAGCTTTTCTCACCTTAGTGTGACATTTCTACTATTTCTCAAACTAATGAGTCTCCCTCTGGCAAAATTTTGGAACTCAAACTTGTTGCTTCAGAATAGAATTTCAAAATGTGTTGAGTTGTAGCTGAACTCTCCAAATGCAGAACAACAGGCTCCTGGTGTAATAACTGAGGATTTAACTGCATGTTCCTCTAGGTCCTGCTCTTAAACACCAGAAAGAAACCACAGTTGAATCAAACACAAAATTAACTCTTACCCCTCCTAGCTCTTACGTTCCACAGGCAGGTTGGCTAGGAGCTCCAAAGCAAAGTGTTTAACCCTGATTTGTGATCACTTGATTAACACCAGCAGCTCAAAGGCATTATGCCTTCAAGTTGGAAATAGCTGGGGGACAAGCTGTGCATCTCAGCTATTCTGGCATAAATCTGTTCTCATTGGTAATATAAGCTAGCAAACTGAGCTGGGAACTAAGGTAAAACACACATTCAATTCTGGTGGTTCTGCTCAGTGGGGGACACTGTGGGTATATGACACTGGAACTCATCTGTCACTGTCCTCCCTCTCGGACTGTGAAACAGCCTGTCCAAGCCTACAGCTTATTTTTCTTCTTCAACATTGCTGCTCTTCTTAAAATGTTACTAATGCAGCTTGTCAGATTTTCTTCAGCTTTATAGCAAGACTTGCAGGTACTGTGCTGAGAAATAACTGAAGGAAGGAGGAAATACTCTTTAGTGTAAAACATAAATGCTGCTCAACAGCTGGGTTTACATTTTTGTTGTCAGTAGTAGCTGTTTTCCTTAAGATGGCAATGGAAAAAAAAAAGATGAGAGAAATATAACATCATGCAAAAGAAAATACAGCATTCATCAAAAATCTAAATAAAAGCTACATGAACATAATAATTGCTTTAAGGAATAAACACTGATGCATTGTGTTCTATTAGCATTCAAATCAAACAGTGAGATTGTCCAGATCACAAACTTAGTCTCCCCAGACACACTCACCAATACAACACACTGTCTGTGATGTACTTCCATGGCCCATGGTGTGCAAGGAGAGCATTCCACTGAGACACACTTTGTCCACACACAGCTCTGATGCTTGTTCTTGGCAAGTCTCTACATACCACTCTGGGCAGTAAGTACACTTAACCATTATTTCAATCTCCCAGTTTTGTGCAGCAGAAAACATCAATAGTTGTGCCAAGTCACTCACCCATAACGTGTAGGACCCACTGCGGCTCCCAGGAAAAGTCAGCATGCTCTGATCTGAGACAGCAACAGAGGCCAGGCCACTGCTCCTGGATGGTAGCCATTCAAAGTCACTCTCAGCCTGCTCAGTTTTGCTCTTCTGCTTCTTTATAATCTGCATGGTAAGGGGATGGTGAGGTAGGAGGGGAGGAAAAAAAAGCTGCTTGGATAATACTGTCTGACCCATATGGAAAAAACCTTCATTCACTCTATCTCAAGGCAAACTGTCCAGGAAGGACACTTGAGTTTCCCTTTGCTTTTTCCCTTTGCTTTTGCTCCAGTTCATGTGAGGATGGTTCTGACACCCTGCATGCATTTCTTCTCTGAAGTCACACTGCTTGTAATTGCATAAGCATTGAAACAATAAATCATTATCAATGCCTGTAGGAACATCAGAAGTGAATTACATAAACGAAGAAAGCTTTTCCTACACTAACACTTTAAAAAATTGCAGCATCTGACAAGTATTTTCTCAGACAAGAATGTTTGCAAAGAAACATAGAATACTAGTTATGAGAAGAATTTTAAAGACTCCCATGGCATCTAGACACATTTCTACTGAAAACAAAGAGGTCTTAGGTGTCTAGGCACTATTTCTGTTTGGTTTTTTTAAATCTACACTATCTTAAGAGAGACAATCATTTAGACTACCTACACTATATCCCTACATTTTTTTCCCTACACGGACAGATTATGTCTTGCTACACTTCATTTCCACAACTTTTCTGACTCAGATTTAAAATACCTACAGAATATTGTTTTGTGGCATAAAAGATCTTGTTAGGCAGCTTTTGACAAAAGTGGTAGCAATTCAAGCTTGGCTGAGATAGGCTCTAGACTATCACTGACCCTATTAGCAGAATTAATCTTCCAATATTCCTATTAAAAAAGAAGGCAGATTATTTTCCGTAGAGCTGCTGCTCTTCTGGCTTTTCTTGCTAGCTTATAAACAACATGCTCCTTTTCCAGTGTGTGATCCATACACTGTGAAATGCCATATCCCAAAGGAACCAACTTAGCAGACTGGTTACTTTGCTTATGACAGGAGCTCAGCAGCACTCTCTTGGTGCTCGTCTTGCCTTTTTCAAGACTGTCCAGACAAACTCAAGGGGTATTTGCTCCCACTAGTCCTCCGTTTTGGTGCTGTGTGAGTGCCAGTTGCAAGCTTTGCAGGGAGAAGAACAAACTTTCTGGAAAAAGCCACATAAATCTGACACACAGAGGGTTCTGTGGGTTTTTTGGTGTCTTTCTCACAGCATCAGTAACAGAACTGTATTTTAATGATTGATGTTTTCTTTGCATATGTTGCAGATGCAGAGTTTAGTAGAGTTGATATGGTCAAGAGCCACATTTCTTTATGGTGGAAAACTTTGTGCCTTTTGGGAAGTGAATTACAGATGTAAAACTCCACTGAGCAAGGGCCTCTGCTTCCAGGCAAGGATATAATAGACCTGATAGAGGGGCATCTCTCAGCTCTGAGGGTGCAGGTGATCAGTGTAGGGACTGGATTAAGTTTATTTTTTAATTGATCTCTATGCCAGATATAGCTGATTAAGCCTGTACTGCGATAGTTGAAGTTGCATCTTGTAATTTACTCTGTACTTTCTACATTGGTGTAATCCTTTTTGCTATTAGCGAAGTTGCATCTTGTAATTTACTCTGTACTTTTTGCTATTAGTAGAGACAAAGCTCACCAGACTAAAGAATTGTGCTTCAGCTATTAAGCAAGTCAGGGGAAAAAAACTGACACCGTACCTTCTGCACTATGGTTGTAGCCAGCTCTTCTATGAGGTCTTCCTTGTGATCCTGCAAGTAACAAGCCTCGTTCTGCTTGTCCTGCATGGAAATGGATATCTGTAGTTGCTAAAATAACATAAAAACAGCCTTTCCACAGAAATGGCATAGATCAGGAAATGGGCAGTATGCCATCTTGGCACTGTGGGAAGAAATTACATGTGCTTACATTGCATGTCACCTTCTGAAATGCAACATGCTTCTACCATACAAGTTTGTAAAACCCACACCCAGCTCTTTAGGTATGGCATAAGACAGTCACTACTTCTTTATGTTTTCTTTTATATATATTTGGTTTTGTGCCACTGCATAATTGTTCTATTTAAGTCAATACGTTTTTTATTTGGGAACTTTTACCAGGCTGTCACTGTAGGTCTCTGCCTTAGAAATAGCTTCTTCCACTGCTTCCTCTGCAACACGTAAGGCCACAGCAAGGGTATCCATCATGCTGTGTCCTAGATGAAAAAGAAGATAAAACCACCATGTCCTTTATATATGTACATTTCGCATAATGAGCTCCAAAATTCAGACTCATGCTCTGGACATATATTAAAATCTTAGGTTGTTCATACCAAAGTGCATTTCTTCAATCCATACTTATGCACAGTAAAATAAGCACCTTAAGACAGAGGAATTTTAATATAAATATTAATTACAAGAAAACACTGTATATTTATGATGTTTATGTTCAAATCCTGCAAAATAGCTAGGAGAAAATAACAGGAAGAAAACTTGTAAACTTCCTATAAAAAACCAACAGAATATAAGAAAGATAATGAAAAAATATAGTAGCCTAGGAAAGGAATGTGAGAAAAATAAAAAAAACCCTGAACATTAAGAAAATCATTCTAGAACAAGTGTGTATTTGCTGTTAACACTGAAGCAAAATATCCCAGTATGGTACACAAAACATTTTCAGTATCTTGCTAAATGTTTCTGCTAAAAGACTGTTGGATCTGTGAACAAGACTTACCTGCACTCTTTGCTACTTCTCCAGTAAGTCAGTGTAAGGACCATGTTTTAATGAAACAAGTTTTTAGCAGCATACCTTCTGTCTGTTGGTAGAATGTGGAGTCACTGCCACAAATGCTTCCTTCATTTTCAAAGCTTCCTTCAAAAAAACTTCCTTCTGCTCAAAAAAACAGATATTACCACATAAAAAGGTCCCCATTAATAGGTGAGGCATTACTAGGTTAGAATATTCACTCAAGACACAGTGGCACCACACACGAAGAGGGATAACCAGAAACATCCTCCTACTTTTTTGTATAAACCATGATTGCAGCAGCTTTTGTACAAAACATGACTAATTTTATACAAAAGACCTCTAATTAATTTTGGATGGGGAAAACTATTTATACAGTAAAAGTGAGCGAGGGGGAGAAGCTACCAGGTTTAAAACTTACCTGGTAGAAGTTAAATACAGGGAATTTGCCTTGAATATGACATTTGGGGTTGAAATAGATTCTATATTTTAAAGGGCAATGCTGTATAAATAAGCCAAAACCCAGACACGTACACTAGTATTTATCTTCAAAGGGAACAAAAGGTTTACCTAACAGCCACACCGAGAGTAGAAGAAAGCCAGCAATGACATTTAGACTCAAAGGTCTTCCTCAGAAAAGGTCTCACCGAGAGTGCACATGCCACTGTAACTCATCATTAAAGTGTTCACACTTCATTTCAAGGACAAATTCAGTGAGATTATGGCATGAGATTAAGGCAACACATGATATTAAAGTTCTGAAGGAACAGTTTTTAATTCATTTGCCCCGCTCCAGCTCTCATTGACACCAATTTTCTTGTCTTCATTCATAGTTGTTCTCAACTGCTAAGGAATCTTCTCTTGAAAAATGAATTTGATACAGAGAAACCAAAAATCTAATAAATCAGTATTTAATGCATAGGTCTCTTTTTCCTATAAGGTTTTATGCCAGTGTTCGTAAGAAACACCTAAATTTTTCACTCAGTACTAGAGTCCACTTACCATCCTATACAATTTCAGAAAAAGGCAAAATAAAGACTACAAAAAAATTAAAGTTGCTGTAGAAATTTCAAAATAATTACATTAGGAAAGTATCCAATAAATCTAATGAAAATTCAACCACCTCAGTGTTGTGGTTTGGGCCTAACCCAACCACAGAGAACAGCCACATGGCCGCTCACTCAACTCCCACCCCCATACACACCCACTGGGATGGGGAGGACAAAGGCCAAGTAGAAGCTCAAGGGTTGAGACAAGGAGGGTTCTTCACCATCGACAGTCCTGGGCTAAACAGACTCAACTGGGAAAAATAATGATTTACCACTAATCAAATGCAGACAGGACACAGCACAAAGAGCAGTGCTTACACACACTATCCCCATTCTGAGCCCAAATTACTGTGCTCCTGGTTTCTCTCCCTCCTTCCCCCCAGCAGCACCAGGGGACAGGGGATGGAGTTTAGAGTCAGTTCACAGGCTGGTGGTTCCTGCTGCTCCCTCCTTCTCTGGAAGAAGGGTTCCTTACAGTCCTTCCCTGCTTCCCCGTGGGGTTCCTCCCATGGGAGAGAGTCCTCCATGAACCTCTCCCTCATGAGTCCTTCCCATGAAGTCAGAAGCAAGCAGTGTGGGCTTCCCACAGAGTCACGGGTTGCACTGGGAACAGTCACCTCCCCCGGCACTGGGTCCTTCATGGGTGCATGATCCTCCAGGACTGCAAGATCCTCCACGGCTTCATGATCCAAGTCCACTGGCAGCAAGTCCACACTTGTCCCACCTGGCGCCTTCAGGGATTGTTCCACCATATTCCTCCTGAGTGCAGGGGACAGCCTGCCATGTCTCCATGGGCTGCAGGGAAACTTCTGCTTGGGCACCTTCTTCCCCCTTCTTCCTCACCAACCTCGGGATCTTCACCTCGGCGCTGCTTTCACCTCTCCAGAACTGCTCTTTCTCCTGCTCTCTGCTCAAGTCTTATATCAGTTGTATATTCATATGTTAATTGCAGATGCTCATCTATTGTCTTTCTAATGCCTTGGCCTTGGCCACCTGAGGGGGGAGCTTTTTGTAGCTTCTTACAGGAGCCACCCCTGGGCCACTCCTCTGCTACCGAAATCACACCAGAACCAAACCAGCACATTCAGACATCTTGGCAAATTTGGCAAACAATTTTATAAATTTAACAAAATTAACAAATTTTAGAAATTTGCCAAAGTTACCAGTATGACACCAAACACAACCCATTTTATACCTCCAATCACACTTCTTATGGGGAGATGTATCATAACACCACAGTTACAGGACAACTGTGCCTCTTCATTTAAAAGGGTGATGCCAATACTTAATCTGCATCTTTTAACCATTTACAAACATCGATAAAAAATAAGATGTAGTCAGTTTCAGATCCTTAAGCATGTGAAACTGTAAGCAAGGACAAACTAAGTTTTGGTCAACTTGGATACCGCTTGGACCCTATGTCAACCAAACTTTTCTTCAAACACTACGGAAATGTGGACTAAGGCCAAATGTTGAAAGCAAAATAATTTTCTCATTCATTGACTACTGAGAACCGTGATAAATTTTTTAACATGTGCTAGAATGTAACCTGCAATTTTCTTTACAGACTGAAGATAACAGCCCTTCTGTATCAGTGGCATAATTAAGATTAAACCTTCCTTGAATACTTAAACAGCTCTTTAGATACTTCACTTCTTTCTTCTCTCCACCGAGGTCTTTCTTTAAGAAACAGAAGTCCTAAAATCACCTTTTTTTTGGTAACAATATTGGAATTTCCATTGCCTCAGCTTGTGTGTTAAAGTAGGCAAGCTAGTAAGAAGTCAACAACTGTTCTTACCTACTACATCAGGACAAACTCCGCTCTCCAGTCTGTGTTTCCTGTATAAGTTCTTCAGGACTTTGGCACTTCCAAAACACTTAAAGCGGCTTTTGACATTATTATAGTACCAATCCAGAGACTGAGCCCTTAGAAGTCTAAAACAGAAAAATAAGCAACATATTTGGAGTGATTGTACAACCAATAAACCTAAACATTTTACCATACTTTTATGTAAAAAAAGGATCTTCTAGGCCTCAGAAAATAAACATACTAATTTCTGAATACTAGGATTGCACCTATAAATTAAAGCTGACTTTTACAAAGCCCTCCAGGAAGCAGAAATATGTCTGAGACAGGGAACACAAACTAATTCTGTGTGTTTGCTTTCATGTTTGAGCCTAGTTTTTCCTCTAAACAGTACCACATAGCTTATTTTAAATTAATTTACTGCACTTACATTGCAGGAATCCAGGTATTTTTATAGGATGTGAAAACTTTTAATATAAAACAGTTTATACTGTAGGCTGCAACATAATTTCCCCTTTGTAATAATTATAAAAATCAGGGTCCTGGAACTAGAAGCCCTACGAAGTTAAATAAGATGATATTCTTAACATCAAGATTTTTGAAAAGAAGATAATAAAGTGTCAATGTATGAATTCCCCCCCAAAATGATGTTACTCTCAGGAGTGCTGGACTCACAGCTCTTCCAGACCCAAAGACATTCAGATAATTCCAGAGAAGTTGTGGATGCCCTCTCCCTGGAAGCCAAGTTGCCTGGGGCTTTAAGCAGCCTGGTCTAGTGGAAGGTTTCCTTGGCCATGCAGGGGGCATTAGAACTAATTGATCTATAAGGTCCCTTTCAACCCAAACCATTCTATGATTTAATTGTGGTTTTATACCTGGGTTCATGGGTGAAAAACAAAATAAAACGAAAGCCCCACTGTAACCTTTAGATTTTCCTTTGGGGACTCTGGACTTCCCTTTATGAAGTCCATAGCAAGCGATAATCCATAATTTTTTGTTTAACACAAACCATTTTGCAAGCAAATAAAATCTCACCTATTGAGAGACTAGCAATGTAGTTTTTACTTAGCACTGAACCCCAGGAGATACTCAATAATAAACAAATACACTGAGCCTGGGGTTTCAACTGCATGCTTCCAGTCTAGCTCCAAAGTTTTAGAGTTTCAATATGCTGCTAAAAAGGAATATGCACTTCACATAAAGCAGAATATCAGGATATAGTCCACTTCTCTGTCATCACTGAGAAGTGTTTAGTAGCAAACACCAGCAGTGGGAAATTAAAAATAAAAATCAATGAAGCGTATCATAGTCAAAATGTGACCTCTTAAAAGTTACATCAGTTGCTCTACCAAAGACAACTGAAGAAAAAGCACATAATGGAACAAAGGCATATTTCTTCTGTATGCTGTGTCAGCAATTAGATGGAGAGACGTTTACAGATAATGTCAGAATAGCAGCTCTTTACTAACTATTTGCACAGTAATATTCCAAGCACAACTATGACTCCCAGAAGGCCGATTAGTTCTGATATTCACCATTCCACTAATGGTGGAATCACTATTTCACTGATATGTGACAAAGGCAATAATCCTTTTTTTTTTTTTTTTTTTTTTTTTTTTTTTTTTTCTGGAAAATGTACTTACACTCGGTCTACAGATGATTTGACATCTGATGAAGCACAATACAGAGCATGAGCAAGGAGAAGCATGCCTAGATCTGTCTGTGAAGTACAGAATTTCTGAATTCCTACAATAAGAACAATAAGAAATCTTTTATGATGCCTGCTCCAATCCTGACCCACCTGGCCAGGGCTTGGCTGCTGGCACAGGGATGAATCTATGAATGGAGGCAAATTTCTCTTCCAAACCTGCAATTCTTTGGCATTTTGAGATGTGCCTTCTTTATGGGCAGGAAACATTTGTTCTTGTGGAAACTGCATCAGAAAGGAACGAACACTATGTCTTCTGCCTGCTGAATTTGATTCAGTTTTGTCCACTGAGTTTCTACAGGTGCTGAGAGTGTAGGATTTCAGTCAACAGCACGGAGTCACAAATATTATGATGAATAAAACCAAATCTGCATAACTGAGTTGGAAGTGGCTTAGTAGGAAGTACTGGACAGGAAGGATGCATTTCTGCCCAGGGAATACAGTGTTCTCCACGCTGTTATCAAAAAAAAAGAACCATGGCATTATCACTGCTGGTAGACTCACAGCACTGAGAGTCCTCACATATACTGCTTTAGGGTTTTCAAAATCTCTACCTTAACACATTTACCAAGCAACCGCAGCTTCACTAGTTTAAAATCCTGAACTTGTTATCTTCTTGGAATCCAAACAGACCCGGCTCTTTATATTCCAACTGAGTGGCAAGGTACCAAAAGCAGAAAGTCACCCATCTCACTGTATAAACTATATGAGTGAAGACAGTTATGAATGCTGACCTGGCAATCTGTGAAAAAAAAGAGATGGGACCCACTGCAAGCCTGCTCCCCATGTTACCATGTTTTTCTGGGTCAAATCAATACTGTTTCTGTAAAAACAGGAAGCTAACAGCACAAATTTTTAATTGAGGTGAGACACTGCTTTGCAACTAAGATAATACTAGAGAGATACCTCGTGTTTGTAATGATAACATTTTCTGCTTTTGAACTTTGGAAAAGCCAAAAGGATAGGAGATTATAAACATCAAAGCAACAATAAAGAAGAGATGCTTGCCTCTTTGTACTAGTTAATCTGTTGTAACCACAAAGACTGGGTTTTATTTATTTTTAAATTTCCTCATTGCTGCAGGATTAACACTTTGGAAGTAATCTAATCATCTCACACTTTTCTCCTATGTGTTGGAGACCTACCAACAAATCCAAATCTATGCTTCTGTCCTGCACACATTCTGTAACAGATTACAATGCCTCCTCTAAAGCTTTTCAGCCTCTTAGCTTTCAGCTATGTCACAATGTCCCAGCTGATTCCTCCTGGGGAGAAAGGATTTGGAGAAGAGAGCAGTTCTCTTCTAGATACTAAAATAAAGAACCCCACTCAAAAGAGCAGTAAAAGCATTTTTTCCTTATTTCAAAAACCTTTAATGTTGAACTGTATTTTAGAACTGTATTTTGCAAAAGCAGTCCATGAGTCCAGACTAATGAAAGACTATGACAGTATTAGCATTAAATTGTTAAAATTAAACACTTCCTTGTTATCTCTAATAGAAAATGTGCCAGTTCTCTCTGCAAAATGAAAGTACACACTGAAAGGATATTAATTGTACGCATTTTAAAGATGCAAGAATGGTTGAAGCCATTTCTCTCTCTTTTTGTGCCATAAAGGCTGCTATGTCTTAATTGCTAAAGAGCCTTATATGCTAAGAACATTATTTACGTTAATTGACATTGTCATAGAGTTGAGTTGCATTTTGATGTGCTTTTGGCAGAGGGGAATACTGTGATTTTAAAAATCCTGCCTTACTAGAAAGTGTGAAGCCAGGCAGATACTTTTGGTTTAATAGCATTAAAAACTGAATGAGCATTATAAATACCCTGCAATGTGTTTGCCTTAACCAAGTAGCACTGTAAGAGCAGCAGATAAGTCCCTTGAAGTCTTTACAAGTGATTTTCAGTTCATTTCTAACCAGCAGCACCCCAATACTAAATTTTTAGCCTTCTCCTGCAGGAAAAAAAGTACACCAGCTGTCCTGGGGAGTGGGGACATGAACCATCTCTCTCATTCTTAGTGATGATCACAAGATCACACAAAAAACGCCACTCATGCAAGATGACAAATATTCACTACTCAATACAGAGGAGGTTATTTAGTGACTGATTTACCACTTTGGGTTTTTTCTTCTAAAAAGTTGTGAGGTTTTACTTGGACTAAAGGTAATAAGAAGCTTCTGCAATAAATTATCTCTAAAAGGTTAATGTTCACAACCTCAATCTCTGCTCATAACACAAGTTGAACTACAAGGAAGCATTTTATCACAACATTTTTCCATGAACTTTGTGAGAAGTTTTCTCCCACAAGAAGAACCTGTCACCTACAAAAACTGGACTGCAGATGAGTAAGTCATGAGGTGCTCCTGGAAATCTGAACTTACATTATTTAAATGTCAGTCAGAGTGAATATGTAATCACTTGGAGTTTCCTCATTGTTGACTTGCAGTGGGAACTGAAGATTCCTTTTCAGCTTTCCATTCCTACCTCAACACATCTCCCATGGCTTTGTGCTAACAACTCTTCTATACCCTCAATCTGACTCCAAAATCAGAGCCACAAACTTCACCCACACATCAACAACTGTTTGTACAAATGTGATGCCAAACAATTCAGATTTCTGAGCTCACCTCCATGTATGTATTCTGAAATGTTAGACATGAATTGCATGCCACCCTGCTGGAACCTCTTATGTTCATTTGAGGTAGAGGCATCCCCTGCCAGATGAGCCTCTGGAGGCTGATTTGTCTCCTCTCATCTATAACATTTGTCATCTTTCTACTGGAATGATGGGGATCATTCTCTAGGCTAATGCCTACCTGCAGCCCCAGTGATTCTGTGGATGGTTTACAACATGCTAAGATACTGGAAATACGTCTATATATATACGTCTATATACCCCTAGGTATATAATGACAGTATAATAATCAGAGAGTTCTACCTTAAAATACAACTTTTATACTTCTATTTGACAGGAAAAGGCACTGCTTTGAACACTTGCTTATTATTTTAATATATGTTAAACTCACTCCCAACACACCCCCTGCACTTTCCCTCCCCAGTAAGTCCAGCACCACCACTGCACTGACTAGTAGTAGACTTAGAGGCTGGTTGCAATTTTCATTATAACCTCAATTTTTCAGGGTTTTATAACTTAGTTGTGAGATTTTTCTCATGATTCTTACTTTGCAAAATAGGAAATAATAAAAAGGACGTAGTGACAGACCCTCTAAAGTAATCTCCATCATAAAAAAGGTCTTCATTGAGTAACTGCGTAGTATTCTCGAATGGGCATCAGCACTACTCAGCCCTGAAATAAAGACATTCAGCTGCAATTTCTCAGACAACTGATCAGCTAACAACCAATCAAACTCACTAGGAAAAAACCCCATCAAAACAGTTGCTAAAAATAACTTTACTC